AGAGAGAGAGACGGAGGGAAATTGTATAGTTCCTTAAACTATACTTATTACACATACAGTTAAAACATTAGTAGCCAAAGTAGCCCAAAGTAGCCGGTACGTCCTCCTGGGGCAGTGGAAAGATCGGGGTGGGGGGGGGGGCGAGACAAAAGGGGGTGATAGGGATACGACAGTATGACAAAAAGAGCAGTTAATGTTTTTTTTTTTTTTTTTTTTTTTTTTTTTACAAAACTTAGTTTACAAGATTAATAGTGAAATACTTGGTCGTGTTTAATCTTGTTGATTTCAGTTTGAAGCATACCCCCCCCCCAAAAAAAATAAATAAAAAGAGTGGTCGTACGTGTGTATGAGAGGAAGGACGCTAGGAATCCACCTGGAAACTAAGGTGGCGCTAGTCTGAAAAGGTTTGGGAACCACTGAGTACAAGCTATAACAATCGTAATATGAAATGATTTGCATTATCATCACTATGCGTTACAGCTGCCTCCCATAATGTTAGGCAGAAAGTATATGATACATCTCACAAATCACAGTGATGTAAAATGCACTTTATTCTTTAAACAAAAGCGAAATTAAATCAAAGCTTTAAATAATCAGAATCAAACGTATTTTGTATGATGCACGGGCATCGACAGACCAGTCTATCGTCCACTTATCGCCAACTCAGTATGTTTATGACCCCGCGGCGTACGATAGAGCCCGTGATGACCTTGTGGGGAGATAACGAGGCGGGTGATCTAAATAACAAGCGGCCGACTTGTATGTCTAGGTGTTCACGCTGGCTCTGATACGCTGGGGCGGGCGAAAGGGGAGAGGTGGGGAGGGGGCGACTGCATTTTCTCTCTCTCTCTCTCTCTCTCTCTCTCTCTCTCTCTCTCTCTCTCTCTCTCTCTCTCTCTCTCTCTCTCTCTCTCTCTCTCTCTCTCTCTCTCTCTCTCTCTCTCTCTCTCTCTCTCTCTCTCTCTCTCTCTCTCTCTCTCTCTCTCTCTCTCTCTTCTTTCGGTTGATTGTTTATTTTGTTGTGTGCTTAATTTTAGACTTATTTGTTTCCTCTGATCGTTGTTTTCTCGTATGATCACATTTTGTTTCAGTTGAACGAAAGGAAGGCGCTTAATTAGGATTGAATTGTCAAAGTTTTGTTGGACAGATATTGACATTTGCTTCCAAATAAGGTGACAGGTGACCTGTTTTAAAAACGTGACACCATGTTCCCTCAGCCCAATAGGCAACTCACAAAACTTTCTTTTTCTACTTTGCTATGATCGCAACAAACACAGGTATGCAAAAGCTACATAGCCTAAGATTTTTAGGGATGTTGTAAGCTTAGAATTTAGCTAAATATGTTAGAGATCGCGGTTTCCGAAAGTACAGAAACAGGTACGTAGCCGATTCCATCTCTTGATAACAAGAGGAATGTCACAACAGATGTTTGGGAATGAAATGGACCGTCTACGTTTGTTTCTGAGTTAGGTTATGCTGAGGTTTAAGTAATTGTGGATATTACCAGGGTTCTGGGAATGGCATTGAGTACTTGGTAACTGGTACATCGTTTAGGCGCTGGTATACATTACTTGCAAGATGTTTTTATAACTGATCTATCTTTATAAATACCATATAGTTCTACTGCTTTAGGTGCACCAGAAATACCATCATGCAGGAGGAACTGGCGACGATTTTCATTATTTATGATTACTCGTGGACCCTCAGGTTGATAAATAAATAAAATAATGACATTGATATATATATATATATATATATATATATATATATATATATATATATATATACATATAAATTAAATAAATGGGACATACGTCTGGCACTAGGGCATTAACTGTTCAAGAGTTGCAAAGCGTGTACAGCCATAAATTGTCTGACAAAATGGTGGTTTGAACAAAATGGTAGTTGAACTCGATGGAGAGACGCATCATCGAATACCATCACACACACACACACACACACACACACACACACACACACACACACACACACACACACACACACACACACACACACACACACACACACACACACATATATGTGTGTATGTGTGTGAAAAATAAAGGAAAATGAGAGTGAGAGAGAGAGGGGGGGGGGAGAAGAAGGAAAAAGAGAAAGAAGGGGCGCTTATGTCTATACCTAGAGAAATTTCAGAAAGCTTTTAATAGGACCGAGTCCCCGAGGCCCCCATATTCCTGCCTACGCCAATACGTGCAAGAAAGAGCCGGCAGTTGGCACCAGGTCAGTTCAGTTCAGTGAGATTTGCAAAGATATTCCGGTTTATAGGCTTCTGTCAGCTACAGCAAGTAGAATTCCCTTAAGTGTCTATGAGTTTGCTTAAAGACCAAATTGCTCTACGCATCCCAAGCTCCATGGAGTGAGAAAAGGCTTAACTTTTAGAGGGTGCGGTCAGTTGTCCTCGTCAATGGATAAGAATTTGTTAACTTCTTTGCCTAATGGGAAGGTTCACAACGTTGCCCATGATATTTTCTTTGCATTG